TGAACACAGATGAAATAATCAAATTTTAGACACTTTGCTAATTAAACAAATCTACAATAACATAAACTGAAATTACCCTGTGAGAAGCAACACTTTCTGAAATATCTAAGAATATGAAATAAAGGATAAAATGGCGGTGTTTACATTAATGTACTTCCATAAATTGGAGAGTTTTCTAAAGGGACGCAACTTTATTTAAATCAAGACAACAGTAATCGTATTATTGCATCACACTCCCCGTCTGAATTTTAACAAAAAATTCACTATCTACTTAGTATAGCACTATAAGACAAGTTAAAAGACATTTCAAAATAACAGAATCAACATTAGTTGTTAATATCACCTTCTAACAAGACAATAAGTTCCGTAATAGGACGGATATACGACACCCGTTTACCATTCTTCTCAATACGAACTTCGACTTTACGAATAAGGTTATCGTCACTTGGGAAAGCGTTTGTAACGATACCTAAAGGCCATTCATTACGATGTACTGAATTGTCTTTTAACAACACGATGTTATCTTTTGACACATTTCGGTTTTCTTGGTGCCATTTTTGGTGTAATGTTTGCAAGTACTCTTTTCTCCACTTCGACCAAAACGTATTGGAAAGAACTTTCACAAATTTCCACTAAGATTTATAAGAGTCCTTGATATCAAAGTTACAAGGTCCAAAATCTGAATTCACCGACTTTTGGGTTAATAAAACTGATGGACTTAAAACGGATGAAGACTCTGGGTCTGACGAAAGTACCATGATAGGTCTGGCATTAACAATTGCTGAAACTTCGTACATAAGAGTAGATAAAACTTCATGTGTTAAATTTCTGTGTTTATGATCCAGTAACATAGCATCCAATATGCGTCTCGCTACCCCAATCATCCGTTCGCACACTCCACCCATATGAGAGGAGTGGGGAGGGTTAAATTTCCAAGTGGCGCCTTGTTTGAATAAATAATCAGCCACAGTTCCATCTGACACGTTTATGGCATTCATTTGGAGGTCCTTTACACTTCCAACAAAATTAGTTCCTCTATCCGAACGAAATTGTTTCACGGCACCACGAACTGAAATAAATCTTCGGAGAGAGTTGATGAATGAAGACGAGCTCATTTCTTCAATCAATTCAATATGGATCGCTCTTGATGTCAGACAGGATAAAAGAACTGCCCAACGTTTGGCACTCGCCTGACCTCCCCGTGTGCGTCTTGCTACCACTGACCAAGGTCCAAACACGTCGACGCCTACATAACTAAATGGGGGGTTAGGAGTAAGTCTATCATCCGGCAAATCTGCCATTTTCTGATATTCCAGTTTTCCTCGAAGTCTTTTACATGTTACACACCTTTGAATGAGAGATGATATAAGCCTTTTGGCACCTAATATCCAAAAACCATGAGACCTAATGAGTCCTTCGGTAAAATGTCTACCTTGATGTTTGACCATGGAATGAAAGTGTAACACTAACAGTTTAGCAATATAAGTACGTCCTGGTATGATTATTGGGTTTTTCTCTTTAAGATTTAAGCTCGATTTTGAGAGACGTCCTCCTAAGCGAAGAATCTCATCCTTATCTAGAACTGGCGATAATGATATGATGCTACTTCCTTTAGGAATGGATGTGTTTCTGGAAAGATTCTGAATCTTTTCACTATAGTAGACTTGTTGAACTTGTTGGATGATAAAATTCTCTGATTCATGATAAAGTTCTTGGTTCCTAGGATTACGTGGTTCATTTCTAGTGCGGTTCCTGATATAGGACTTTAAATATGCGATAGCTCTGACTAATTTATCCCACGTTGAAAATCGTTCAAATCTTTCAAGTCCAATCTTAGATTTAATAACAGTTATGTTTTCTTTACTCACACGAACTTCTGGTCGTAGTTCACTATCTTGTTCTTCGTCGACTAATGGAAAAGTCAGTGCTTCAACGACATGCTTCTCACTGAGAAATGATGGTCCAGTTAACCATTTACTGTTCTTCAAACGGGAAGCAGGAATAGGTCGTGTTTCTTCGTCTGCTGGATTGGTGTCGGTGTTGACATGACGCCATTGTTGAGGTCTTGTAGAATTTCTAATTCTGTTCACTCTATGCTCAACGTACACATAAAAACGCCTTGACTCATAGTTAATGTACCCAAGTACAACTTGGCTATCAGTGTAAAATTTCACAGAGTTCATATCATAACCTAAACTTTCACATACTACTTCGGCGATTTCAACTGCTAAAACAGAAGCACAAGGTTCAAGCCGAGGGATGGTATGTCCATGTTGAGGGGCGACTTTGGCTTTTCCAAGTATAAATGACACATGTGGGTTTCCTTCTGGGTCAATTGTCTTCAGATATGATGAGGCTGCTATAGCTTCTTTTGACGCATCACAGAAGACGTGTATCTCGGATATAGGGGTGAGATTATTCGTATAAGTTCTATTGATTTGGAGTTCTTCTAATGCTGACAAAGATTCTCTCCAAGAATTCCACATTTCTTCATGCTCTGTAGGGAGCGGTTCGTCCCAATCAGTTCCCGATATCCAATTCCGTAGGAATAGTTTGCCTTGTACTACAACGGGAGCAGAGAATCCTAAGGGGTCATATAAACTGTTAACTGTAGATAACAGACCTCTTCTGGTAAAGGGTTTCACATCGGATGAAATTTTAAATGTGAAGGCGTCTAGTGCCACATTCCAACAAATTTCAAGACTTCGTTGCAAGGGTGAATTATCTCCGATGTTGATTTTTTTAAAATCCTTCCCTAAATCGTCCGCGGGAAAGGCTTCCATTACAGCCTTACTATTTGATGCGATCTTGTGTACTCGTAGATTTCCTTCTTTAAGCAGGTCGATAGCCATATCTGATGAAGGAAGCGATGTTAAGCCATCATCGACATAGAAGTTGTTCGTAATGAAGTCGCAAACGTCGTGTCCAAATTCTTCTTGGGCATTTTCAGCTGATTTACGAAGTCCGTATGTTGCTACAGCGGGGGAAGGAGAGTTCCCAAACACATAAACGCACGTGCGGTATTCTCTAAGATGTTTATCCATATCATTGTTTTCATACCAGAAAAATCTGAGAAAGTTTCTGTGCTCTTCATTTACTTGAAAACCAAAAAACTTCTGTTGGATATCAACTGTCACCGCTACGGGTTCCTTCCGGAATCTGAGGAGGATGCTCAGCAAGCTATTGGTAAGGTCTGGTCCAGTCAGTAACATATTGTTGAGTGAGACTCCCTGGTGTTTAGCTGAAGAGTCAAACACGACTCTTATTTGTTTCGGTTTCTTTGGATGAAAGACCCCAAAGATGAGTATATACCAGTGTTCTTCTCCATCTTTCAGAGGAGGGGCAATCTCTGCATGCTTGTTATCGAATATTTTCTGCATAAATTCACGAAATTGTTCTTTCTTTTCAGGATTCTTTTTCAGGCTGAATTCCAATGAAGTGGCTCTCTTTAATGCACTCTCTCTATTACTCGGCATAGGTAGTCTATATTTGCGCAAAGGCAGGGGAATGACCCAGTTTCCAGCTGCGTTCTTGGTAATTCCATCATCAACAATTTGCAGAAACTGTTTATCTTCCACCGACAGTCCCAGTTTGTTGTCGTTCCGTGTTCTCATGAAAACAGAGTTTCCTAAATCGTCTATAGATTGATAAATATTGTCATTAAGTTTGAAAGAATTCTCACAAGGTTCAAATATTGACGGTCGATCGTTTTGGAGTACAAAGGTTTTGTTAACGTCCACTGTATCAGCTAGATGGATCTCACCTAAGCACACCTCTCCAATTATCACCCATCCTAAGGGTAGCTTTTGAGCAAAAGGAGTTTCTGAAGGTCCAACACACTGATCCAAGACATGGTGAGCCTCAAGCCTGGGAAGTTCTACTTTATCTAAATGGGGGTAATAGGAACAAACTTCAGGAGTTGGAATTTCATTCCTGTTGTTCGGAATGTCATTACATTCGATCAGCCTAGGCAAGTAGAGTTTGGTGCTGTAATCAACGGCTTCTATCATAGGTTTAGCACGGGTACGTCGTCCAGTTGAAATGATGTGACCAGCACACGAAGATAAGGCATACTCAATCTCATCTCCTCGTTCCTCAAAGTGATCGAAAAATTCTGTCTTGGCCAAAGATTTATTGCTCTGGTCATCGATCAAAGCGTATGTCTGTAAATACTTATCAGAACTTATACATTCACTAAGACTGCTTTAGCACAGGATCTCCCATTAAATGGTTTCTCACAAAGTTCGGTACACTTTGAGCTCACATTTTCTAATTGTTCATTAGTTTGATCTGTTGAATTGACGGAATTCTCCCCGCCGTGATCGATCACAGTTTTGGAGTGTGTAGTTGTGCTGTCGTCCTTAGAGTTATGCAGTGCAGTTGGATGTTTAGCACTCTTGCAAACTTCACAATGCACCTTAGCTGTACAGTCCTTCGCCAAATGGCTCTTTGGTCCACATCATTTAAAACATAAACCCTTCTGAAACAAAAATACCGTTTTCTCATTAGATGGTTTCATGCGAAAGAATCTGCACTGGTTCAAAGTGTGATTGGATTAATGAATGGGACAAAGATCCTTTGAGATGGATTTGCCACGATTTGGTTCGGTTACAGTCTCAGTCTTTTTAGTAGAGATATCAATATAATCTCTCTTCGAAAACGTAGTTAGAGGTTTGGATTTAATATGCCGAGTCGTGCTCTCATAATGAAAAAAAGGATCGTTTTTAACCTGAGCAAGATCTCTTAAAAATTCGGCGAAATGTCTAAAAGGTGGGCAAGCGACGTTGTACCTTTTCTTATACTTAACAGCTTCACGCGTCCATTTTTCTTGATAAGCAACTGAAAGTTTACTTACAATCGGAGAGACTCCAGTTGAACAGTCATAATAACTAAATAAAGTTCTATATCTATCGTTCTCCTTAATAGATTCTATCTGATACTATATCACATAAATCATACAGTCGTTTATTCTCTTTATATGTGATTGTTGCGAAAGATGAAAGTTTATTCTTAATGGCCGATTCTATTAGTTCGGGAGATGCATATCGATCGTTCAAACGTTCCCAAATGCAATTTAGACCTTTCTTAATATTGCCAGGATTGGCAGCTTTTAAACTTAGTGCTTGTTTGGAAGATTCTGGACCTAACCATTTTATTAAGAGATCAATCTCTTCTAAAGGCTTAAGATCAAGATCAGATATAACATCACAAAAACTTGATTTCCAAGAGCTAAAAAATTCCGGTTTGTCATTATATTTTACCAACCTAGAAAACAATAAATCTTTCTTAATCATAAGCTTAGCAATATCAGTGTAAGCTGGACCCTGAGTGTGACAAGGGAGAGAACTACAATTATTAGACACAATGGGTAAATGCACAGAGGGGCGTTGCATTTCAACATGCTGTGTTGGTACAGGTTGGAATGGGGTTGCACTTGGGCTCAAGTCAGCTTGGGTCTGAACAGGATCGGGGGTACATAACATTTCTAAAATTGTGGGGGACAAATTGTTCATTCTGTCCACACTAGTTGAGTGTTGGTATATCACGTGGAGTGTCCTCCCTAGGAAGTAAACCATTTTGAGGCGATAAGACTGGCATATGGAGTCGATGATTTCATAGCGAAATATCTTGTTCTTGTTTCTTTCACTTCTCTTATATCTGAATCACTACGACTGCTGCTACTGTCTGAATAGTTCACCATTTCTTCCATCGCTTTGTATTCAGCTTCTGCTACGGAAGCTTCTTTTTCATGTTGAATTACGGTCAAATTTGCATCGAGTAGTGCCTGTTGTTTCTTAATGTCAGTTTCTCTCTTAACATACTGAAGGCGAGATTTGGCTGCTGCCATCTTAGCCTTTGAAGTCATTAACTGGGTTTGACTGCCATGACTTGACACATTTGATGTTCTGGAACGTCCAGATCTGGATCTTGAAGGTGTACGCTCTGCCTTGAACCTTTCTTCATCAGTGGGTGTCTTCCCATCGTCGACGCGTTGTGAGGGTGAAATCACGTCGTCCAAATCAGTCTGTGAGGTTAAGCTTGCCATTACCAGAGGTTTTTCACTGTACTGTTTTAAGCTTTATTGATATCTCTCAACACAACCATATACAGTAGTCTCTCGGAAGAGAGTGAAAAACTAAAAATACAAAATACAACTGATAAATACAAGTACAGATCTTATGATTCTTCTCATTTTGTCAATATAATAGGCCTTGCTTACATGTGAAAATTAAAGGTTACACCAAACGAAGTTCACATGATGACATGTTTTAAACTGAACAAAGATGAAATAATCAAATTTTAGACACTTTGCTAATTAAACAAATCTACAATAACAAAAACTGAAATTACCCTGTGAGAGGCAACACTTTCTGAAATATCTAAGAATATGAAATAAAGGATAAAATGGCGGTGTTTACATTAATGTACTTCCATAAATTGGAGAGTTTTCTAAAGGGACGCAACTTTATTTAAATCAAGACAACAGTAATCGTATTGTTCCATCACGTGGATTATGGTAGTATTGCTTTGGGTAATGCGTCTCACAGTAGACAGAAAGTCTTGGATAGAGTTCAGAAACGAGCAGCGCGAAGTTTCTTAGACGTGAACTATGATGCAAGATCGGCAGACAACACTGTTAAACACTCTTAATTGGCTCATAATCTATCAATATAATATAAACTTTACACTGATATATTGACACACAAAATCATGAATAAAAATGCCCTTTCTATTTTACAAATTATTTTCCCCAAAAATCACTTATTTCCTCAACAAATTTCGGGTCCGAATAAAAAGCGCAAACAAGAGGAATCAAGCGTAGACAAGTGCAAACAAGCGCACACAAGTGCAAACAAAGCGTAAACAATCACAAACAAGTGCAAACAATATTCTTGGAATGAAATTAGCAGTAAAAAATTCATGTTAATGGATTTTTTTGACAACTGGTCATTGAATGTGTCTATAGATGGTTTTGTTGACAATATACTCAAGACATATCAACTGACAACACTTCAGACGATACACATAAGTAATCTGGGCACCATCAATTTCATAGAACACGTAAATCTTATATAGCATATAGTAGGCAATCCTTCCACATAATTTAACATTGATCGATATATACAATTCATGTTTTCTGTGCTTATTTAGCATTATTCAGCTTGTTTGCTGTTGTTCACAATTGTTTGCGCTTTGTTTGCGCTTTGTTTGTGCTTGTTTACTCTTGTTTGCGCTTTTAGTCGACCGCAAATCTCAGCCTTCACTCGCAAACCAATCTTTGTTTACCTAAATGTAAACTGGAAGCAATCAAACGAACCTTTCAATACACAGCAAGTCTTCTATGTAATTCACTGCATCAAACAATTAAATCATCTTCTTCACATACTATGTTTAAAATGAAGCTACATAAAGTGCCATCCGAACGTTAATACTTTTTTCTACATTTTTTGTTTCATTTGATTCATTGCCTTGTAGGCCCATGTAAAAATTATATTTTTGAATATGTGTATTTTATATGATTTTTGTATGTGTGTTTTCTATAATTTTGTACGTGTAGTTCAGGAGAATACCAGGAACGATTTGCTGGTTTTAAAAACGAATGTAGGCTGTAGTAAATATATATCAGTGTTGTTTCCCCTGGGATAGTTAGATTAACAGTCATTGAAAACAAGAGTTATCAGTTAATTATACATACACTACTAATACATATGAACAGTGGTAGAAAAGATGGTCTTGGGGATGTTAACATAGTTTTGTTTTTCTTCAAAAACAGGTTTTATTCTTTTTTTTGGTTTTTTTTTTAAGTATGTCAAAAAATTTCTTTGTTAATATCATTAATCACTCATATAATAATACTACGGTCAATAATAATAATAGTTGCTTGAATACATTTTATTGCTAAATCAATTTAAATATGTTTGGATTAAATGGATTGTTAACGCTAATGGGAAAAACGCGTAGTATTTAGGTACGGACCATACGACACGGCTGATGAGTTGGCTTACATCGTAATGCGCATGTCGGTCACGGTCTTAAATGAGGTCAACAAACCAGCTGGTTTATTGTGTGGTTTCGACGTTACATTAGTATAGAGCAATGGTTACCATTGTTTGGAAAGTGCAAATTCTGGTTGTTGTATATATTTTAGAACTGTGACAACTAAGAAAATGAGTGACAATGTGACTGTTACGTTCATAAACATACGAATTAGTGTCAACTAACTATTTGTGCCTATGATTTAATTATCGGCCGTGGTTAAAAGTAGTGTTATACTGATCTCTCGGTACTATACAAGTATAATCAACATTATGCATATGTGGTGCAGAGTATAATTGGTAAGTAATGGAATCACACATTCCTATTAGCATGCATATGAATTATGCTCTTACTGCCAGATTGTAGCATTCGAGAGACACACTTATGCTCCTGATGCGTGTTTGACCATTATTGGGTCAATTTTTGCGGTTCATGTGTTTATGCACGTTTGTAGTTGAGTCATCACAGATGCATTACTACTTGCTAAAATGTTTTTAACCTACAATGGTTATGCTGAAAATGCACCACAAATATTAACAACTAGAACAATGAACTTTAGCATTACAGCTACCAAAAGTTTAGTATATCTTCTTAACTATCTGGGACAAGTCAGATATTTGTGAAGGTCAAGGACACACGATATACATTACGGTTTAATGTTAGTATTTCTATTTTATTATATAAATCGTGATATGAATAACAAGTCACTCGCCCGCGAAGCTTTAGAATTACTAAAATTACTAAATTCAAAATAAAAAAGGAATAGCCTAGTCTGAAGTACCAGACTCAGAGACGAACATTTTAAATCCTCGACATTGTAAAATCAATCTATGTCCATATCTATGATCACTTATAACAATAGAAATTAACATCAGCTGTTCAACGGACACAAATAAACAAATAAAATTAATAAAAATGAGATTTATATTATTGTTAATAGTAATGAAAGGTATCAGTTCATCTTTTCTGTTTTCTTGGCAGACTTCAGTAGCATTCCAACGTATAGTTTAGTGAGGGAATAAGCAAATCGTTACGAAAAACATTAATTTCAGAAGAAAGGCGTGAGAAACTGGACTAGACATTTTTCAGTAACAATTCGTAACCAAAGATCGCAAGAGATTGATAGGATTAGATAGTAGCTGCCTGACTAACATCCAATAACGGGTTTCTGATAAAATCTTTGCGTTCACTGTTTTTCTTAATAAAATTGACGATTTATTACCTCGGATGAAATGAGGTTATATCAATTTTACCATGTTTTAGAGTTTGATTTACCTATTTTGAACAGGTTATGTGACCATGGTCAATGAACTCTTGACTTATTTTGAAGGATTATTAACATCTAATGATCGTTATAAGCATGGCCTATATGTTTTCTCTATCGGAGATAATACTCTGATAATTGAAAGCGATTGTAATATTCGGGTACAATTAATGTTTCCATTACAACAAAACGATCACCTGCTCGACCTTGATTTTGATTAACGGTGAGAACGCGTGCACTGGTTTATCTTCAGCATTTTATAATTTACATCATACCTTATAGCTCCAGATCGGGTCAATGAATATCATCAACGCCTCTGAAGTGTGCAACTAAATTTTGCTAGGATATCCATTCACGAGACGAGATTTTGGTCATGCTTGTATGGATTTTTATATTTACTATATTTATACTATAATTTCAGACAAGATATACAGATATACAATGATAATTTGTTTCTTAGGGACGGATTCTGTTTTTTTGGTTATTTAAAGATTTTTTACTTGTCCTCTGCAGAGGACCTTTATTAGTTGTTACACCTTCTGTCTGCTAAAGTAACAATTTTTAATTACTTCAGCAATTTGCTATTAGCAAATTAATGCTACTCCCAGATACTGTGATTTATTTTGTTGCAAGTATCATATCAACTAGTTCAGTTTAGTTTTATTAGAAACACTGAATTTTCAATTCTCTCTATTAAAAAGCCAAATACATTCTGATCCAGATAACACTTTAAGCACCAATCCACATAGAAATTGTACCTTACGTATATCAAAATATTGAGCTCAGTAACACCCACGCTCTGTCCACGCATCTATCAGCCAAACTATTACATCATACACGCAGTAAACATAATATCATTACTGACAAAACTATGTATTAAATAAAATGATGATAAAAAATATCTTAAATGTTCGTATCATATTAGATTAAATGTCAGTTTGGACATAATGTAAATGACACTTCATAAAACTTTTAATGAATTTTTTCTCGAAGCAGACATTTTCAATACATCATACACAAAATTCAATACCCTATTTGTCAGTATGGTGACAAGTTACATTTAAATGAAGCCTTTCTCAAGTCAATAGCAATACAAAATTGATTTTAGAATAAATGGTCGTAAGTCAGGGTATATTTGTCTGGTAAGTAAATACTAAACGATCTGATGCTTGTGTGATCTGGACCATCTCTCTTGGGTACCAAGTTTATGTTCAAGTATAATGTTAGCGTCGTAAGATTCTCTTCTGAGCTGGTTAAAAATGGTTTCCTGTGCTCTGTATTGTTTCATGCTGAAAGATTGCACTTTTTATATGCCCGCATAAAAATGTGGACGTATATTGCCGTCGCCTCTGTCCGTCCGTCGGTCCGTCGGTTGTCATTTCTTGTATGCACACGATAGAGACTACAGCTTTTTCTGATCTTGATGAAACTTAGTATGCATGTATATATCGATGAGATTTTGGTCGCAATTGTTTATAATCGGTGAAAGGTGTCAGAGTTATTGCCCTTGACTTAGTAAAAACGCGTTAAATTTGGCTTGTATGCACGATAGCGTTGTAGCGTTTATCTGATCTTGATGAACCTTAGTATGCATGTATATATTCAAGTTGGTAATAATTGGATTAACAGTTTCTGAGTTATTGCTCTTGACTTAAATTTGGCTTGTAAGCACTATAAATTGTGCAGTTTCTATCTGATCTCGATGAAACATTATGGGTTATATGTATATAGGGACAAGAGCTCAGTCAAATTCGAAATTGGTAATAATCGGATGAATGGAGTTATTGCCCTTGACTTAATACAAATGCGTGAAATTGGACTTGTAGGCACTATAGAGACTATAGTTTTCATCCAATCTTAATGAAACTTGATATGCATGTATATATTGATGAGATCTCAGTAAAGCTTGAAATTAGTAATAATCGGATTAACGTTATCGCAGTTATTGCCCTTTACTTTGTAAGAACACGTCAAATTTGGCTTGTAGGCACCATAGAGACAGCAGGCTTTTTCCGATCTTGAAACTTGCTATGCAGTTAGATACTGATGGGATTCAATCTAGTTTGAAATTGGTAATAAGCACATGGTTCCAGAGTGTGTGTATGTTGACAAGACTCTGTTCATGTTTTGATTTGATGATAATTTTAATGAACTGTTTTAGAGGTTTTTGCCTTGACTATATGTATATATTTTTAAGATTAGTTTAAAAATCATTATTATGCCACTACAGACTTTGTTATCATTTCTGGTAGCTGGTAGTGGGCGTATGTTTCCTTGTCTGGCATGCTATCTTTCAAGAATGTATAACGAGATTTTCCACGGCGAGTGGTTTATTAGTTATTACGTGGACGTTATTTTGTTGTATGACCGTTGATTTGCGGAGACGTTTCTCTGTAATGTATTGGAACCTGGTACCTAACTTGCTTTGTTCCATTTAAATATTATCAAATATTTTGATTTCGGACCAACGTCTGAACCAAAACTATCAGGAATCGGATTTTTCTTGAACTATCAACCAGCTTTCAATCCTCCATACATAAAATATTTTGGATTTCAACCTACACAATAATATTTCACAAGTCATTCACTTGTTTGCCTACTTATCTCAGCGTGTGTGGAATATCAGAAGACTTCTCGTGTTGTGTAGAAGATTATTTCCAGACAAGGATTATCTAGATAATACGATTTATAGGTATAAATTTATACAAATGGCAAAAGCGATTACCACTTATTGTTCTTTTTTTTTGTGCAGCAATTCTTAGGAGTTATTAGTTTGTGCAAAATCTTATTACGAAGGACTTTTATGCGCTTTATGTATTTAAAACAAGGGACATAGAAGGATGCTGTTGATCACGTATGACGTTTTGACATTCATTGATACGTAATTGGTAAATTATACCATATGGTGAAATGTGCTTCAATTACATTAATGGCCGACTTAGCAAATTATATCAACTTTGTCTTCTTTGGTTCCGTAAAATGTCAACTCTAATTCGGGCTAATTTTGTGTCAAGATGATGGTCTTAACAGTAACTTGGTTGGTGAAACTTTGGAGAGTGGAGTGGTGTCTTCCAAGAATTATGGAGTTGTTACGACTCAAATTAACGAAATGAAATGAAATGAATGGAGTTTTACGTCCTACTTTTCTGCTCCATGTTCAAATTAATGAGAATCTAACTTTAATTAAAGGGATTGTAAAGAGGTTTTCTAAATAAAATATTTATGTGTATCGGGGACACCGATAGCATTATTTTGCTCCATTCCAATTTTCAAACCGTTCCTGCAATTCGACTAAAGGTAACTGTTTGATGACGCTACTATTCGCAAATTTGCTTTATCACATAAGGTCCTTGGCGATTAGTGACGTCATCCAACACTTTATTTAAGTTATATTGAAGTAAGTACAGATGTCCGATTGGAAATTGGAATGATGGAAATTGATGCTATCAGTGTCCCCGATACACATATTTTTTTTTTTATAGAACCTTTGTTAATTCATTACAAGATATTGTAGTTTCACTATCCGTTAGACGTTTATACTTTTAACCTTTGATTCCGACATCATACAACAAGGTGATGTCGGACAAGCATGAAACGATTTCAAAATTGCAGATTCAAAATATCTCTATTAAGAATGAATGAGACCGAAAATCATGTAATTCCGACGCATTTACTGTCCCATTTTGGTATTTATTAGAACTTATCTGTTTGTGCTAGTAACATTATACATTACTATATAACTATATTATTTGAGGTCATATTCTGTATGCAAGTAATATAAAAAGAAATAATAAAGATATAATTTTAACCTGTTCCTCTTTCGAAGTAAGTTCAAGTGCGTATTATATTTTTAGCTTACATTCCTATTTCTACACTCATGGCACTACGTTTGGCTAAGATTATATGTCTTATGTTAAAGGAGCACCTTCACTATCCGTTCGACCAACCTTACCTTAGTTTCAGAAACAGGAATCTTTTTAACTTACATAATCAGTTAGAGTTTGCAAATCCATGTGTATCCATAAAATTATTCACGTTTGAAAGTTAAAAATTCGACTCGAATTTTACTGAGACTATGTCATATAAACAAACAAAGCAATGGACAGTGGAATTTCTAGTTTGAGGTAGGCCCCATGTTTCAAGGGATTATGCGATTTTCGTGCGTTTTAGGAACTTCTTAAGACTACATGTATTAAAGAACAATAAAGACCCAAATCAATCCCCGAAAATGCCGACTGTTCCCCTTTAAAAATTATGGAACAGGGTCAATGAATTAAATGTTTCAACTATTTACCATAAGTTATCAGAAAATTTTCATATGATATGATGTACAAATGCAGCTTGTTAAGCTTATAAACTTTCATGAATGGTTATCCGGTTGGTTATCTCCTGTGAGAACAGGAACTTCCAGATGTGCCATAATTTGAGTTCACACAATATATCTTATCTTAGAAGGGTGAAATACGTTCGTAAACCTTTTGCAATTATAGCTATCAGAACATCGTGCGCTTGTGCTTAGAACGAACGATTGCGATTTAAGAATTATATAATGTTACGTTCAACAACACTATCTCACAACAAGTCTATGACAGAATATATGCAGCTTTACTGTTTTGGTTCTAGATTGTGTTCACGAGCAACGAATATGTTTTTGACATAAAAATCCTGGACTGGAACTTCAAATACATTACAACGAGTGATATATAATTATCGTATGCAAATATTATGTGTATTAAACATTGTAAACATGAGGTTAAAAGTGTAAGCTATAGAACATATGTAATAACATAACATGTTATGCCGTAAAAGTACTAGATCTTAGTTGCAACATTAGAAATCTGGTTAATACTACATCTTATCTATAGCTTAGACATAAATTGGTCCCGACATAATAAATGTCACACTTTAAACCAAAAGGCGACAAACAAATATACCGATGAACTCAAGTCGTAGTTCTTACCATGCCCCTATTTTTTCATTATGAAATTTCAAATGATTGAAATGAAATGTCATTGAATACTTATAGAAACTAAATTCTCAGAACTGAGCAGCAATAACACCCCCTATATAAAATATTTCAACAGCATCAATAAGGTAGTGAAAACGAAAAAAAACTCACTCAAGGTATTTTCTTCTTATTATTAATTAGGCTTCTTTCTTTTTCAGATTTGGTTGCATCTGGTTGATGGCATCTTCAACGTTCTACATTCACAATTTATTAGGCTAAGTGTTTCATGAAATGGTTTAATTTCAAGCTTTGACTTCTAAGAGCTTATTTTATTCTATTTAAGTACTCATGGTTAATTGATATTCCTCACCAATAGTTGCAAGAAATGACAAACGAAGTACCCAAGTGGACAATTGAGATATTTGAAAGCTCTTGGTAGAAACATATCCAGCAAACTTCTAGTCTGAAAGGTTTATTAATTGATCAAAATGAATGAAGGAATTTATCTTAACAAAGACTCGCTGGCCAGCTGTATTCTGATTGGCATCTTTATGTTGGTTGGTATAATAGGCAATACGTTGATGTTAAGGTCATTAATAAAATACAAACAGCTTCGTATTGATATTTATGTAGTGTTTGGCGGGTTGGCATTGGCAGATATCATTAATTTGGCTTTTGCTGGGCCTTCTAGAATTATATACACTATTCAAGCAACTGACGTGACGACAAATGCTTGGTGTAAAATAAGCCAGTATTTGTCGAGTTCGACTGGTTATGTGGCTTCCTATCATATTGTGATTTTATCCGTATTGCGTGGAATAGTGTTAACAAACCGTGGACATCCACCACCGACACCAAAGCATGCATTTATAAGCAGTTCAGTTTGTTGGACGATAGCCTCTCTTGCATCTATACCATTTTTCTTTATCTATGAAAAAGACCCTAAGTATACCGTGTGTACTTATACCGATTCAACTAGTCTTAGTACCACATTGTGGCTGGAAGCTGGTTTTATTCTCTTCCTACCACTAATGTTTATTTTGTGTCTTTATGGGATTACTTACTCTGTTGGTAAGCGGTACTTTGCAGACAGTTATTCAGGACATGCACGAAGAACATCAAGGCTTATCAATGCAATTGTAATTTCTTTTGTGGTTTGCCAGCTTCCCTACCAAGTGTTAAGTATCCACTTATTTTACGTTCACAAGGGAATGGCGGAACGAGCATATAATATTCAAGATGAAGATTATCTTCATACTTTATTCACTGTATCGGACTATATGTATTGTATGGTATTATTAGGAAAGTGTTTAAGACCAGTGTTATATTCTAAGTTAGCTGATGATTTAGGTGAGAGTTTTGACGAGGTAATAAACTGTACAATTTGTGGTAAATATTATCATACCGGTGCTGCAGTGAAACGTACTAGAACCAGAACCCGGAATGCGAGTTCGAACTCCCAGGCTCCATTAACTAGTCGTGAACAACCAACAGAAGAAATTGACTTACAATGCGAGGCAATTTAATACTGGCTTTTTTGGACGTTTGCGGGCATTAACATGTTGTGCTTGTGGACCTAGACATGGCAATTGTCAAATATGTGCCATAAACGTTGCTGTTATGAGCTACTTTATTTCATTGTGTTCAATCTTATATCCCAACTTTCTTATATTCAAAAAATAAAAGCTTTAATACAAGGCTTGGAATTATATATTTATACGAAACGTGAAATTGCCTTATGATCTTCCATCTTTGGTCTTATTCTCAAGGACTATTATGCGTGTCTTATATGATAATTTAACTCACACAAGTTTTTATACCGATTCTTCAAAAAAAGTATGATTCTATTTAGTGTTTATGGATGCATTGTCAATCTGTTTTTTACACTGCACCTGTGAACGAGATCAACGTCACCAACTCGAGGAAGTTAGTGTTAACGTAAACCGTTTATTATGACGCCTTAAAAGTTGATTTGCTCAATATATATTTTCATTTGGTACTTGTGTTCTGTTCATTTGTTATTATTTGTGATAAATTATGTATTTCTTGTTGATTCGTGATGTTAGTGCTAATATACTCAAACCATTGTAGTGAGTTCAAGTTCCGTGTATAACATTTAGATAGATCTAAAGTCTGCATGCATATTTACAATTGTAATTATTAATTTTATAGGGACCTCAGCAAGAAAGCAAAAGAAAGATGATACTCGAAACTTGAACTTGCAATATACAAAGAAGTATTACTATGTATATAATATCTCTCTTTGCTCATTAATTTTAAACCATGACTTTTCATAAAACCTATTTGTAAATAATACAATCTTTACACTCATACTGTACTTATTAAATCAAGACTTTGTACTGTTAGTATGCATAATATGAATGATAACATCTGCACATTATGTAGATGTCGCTAAAGTTAGATCAACTTATACCAAAGTATACCAATGCCTGTATCATTTGCTCATGTTTTTGCAACCCTAAAATCATGTTAGGATGTATTTCATTTTATGGTTGAAAACGCTCTTATTTATACGCATTCCTTCAAATTTCATACCATTCTCGGAAATGAAAAAATGTGTAGTGGATATGGTTCACTTCAGCTACTTGATTTTTTGATTTTTTTCAATTTGACGAGAGAATGGATTTCTACGCTTTATTCTGTAACAATTTACCAGTGCATTATGGTTAAATAGTAGGTCAATACAGCCAAAATGATTCCTTGAGGTAAAATTATGATTTATGTTAGAAATTTATATATTAGGCAGGATATAGACATTAGGATATATCCACAGAGCTACTTCTTGAGATTCTAATTTATTTGTAAATTGATTCTGAAAGAAAATTCTTTCATTTTAGTCGACAGAACAACCATTGTTATCGATAAGTAAATCAAACATGATATAAAGTATAATTGATCAAAGGTTACACCAGGGTCTTTTTGACATATCTTATGATACAAATGTTACAATATAAATGCCACTATCTAACAGTATAACACGTAAAAGGTATACTACCTATTACGACGACCATAAATTCCAAATTTTTAAACTAAGTAGTTTTGAAACATGCTTAGAAAAATGCTCAAAAATTATTTAGTTTAATCTATATATCGTCTTATATAGAGATTCTATTCTTTAGTCCTTGCACCTTGTAAATTCATCTGATGACTATAATATCAATGAAAAAGTTTAAGACTTTAAATTTGTATGTCCATTCAAAGAGGTAGTATCACTTTAAAGTACCATCAAATTACCATCAATTATCAATTCCTGTTTTAAATGACAGATTAGTTAGATGTGCGTTAATAGGTCATTTCAGTATTGAAAAACTCAGGTAATACAGTATTTTAGTATTTCTGACAAAAAGATCAGCTTTAAGACATGACACATTATTAAAATGCTTGACGTATTGATTTGCTCAAATCGATTTATTATGGGTTAACCCATGCACCAACGCAGCAATAGTCATCTATTGATATTAGGATTCTGTGCACAGTAAATTGCTCTTAGTGCAATAATTGGTAGTCGTTTAGTGGGATTTATTCGAATCCCAGAACTACGAATAAGACAGTAAACTAAGATTCCAGTGCAATAATGTAGAGTCATCAGGGAAACCATTCACAATATATTGACAATGAATCACTGCTGTAGATGGACATTCTCACGAGGAGATATATATATTATAGTGTCTCTTTCTCGCCAGACGTTTTATAAAGTTAGTTGCTATTTGCATGAAGTGTTCCTAATATAAGCCTCACAAAATTTACTTAGACTGTAAAATGGCTTTGTCTTCTTTGAAATATTTTATTTGTTTGTTATGTTATTGTATTGTTTTTTGACTGTATAAATTAATGGAATGATATAATACTGCTGTTCAATACATGTCATAATAACAATTTTAATAAAAATATAATTATAAACATCTTTGAGTTATTTATGTCAGTTTTACTTTTTACCACCAGTTTGGTTTGTCGTCACTTTTTATACAACCACATGAATATGTGGTCGTATATTGTCGTCGCCCCTGTCCGTTGGTCCGTCAACATTTCTTGTGAGCACTATAGAGACTACAGTTTTCATCTGATTTTGATAAAACTTGGCGTGATGCTTTAGATTGATAAGATCTCAGTCAAGTTAGAATTTGACGTATTTTCGATGCACAGTTTTGGAGATATTGCCCCTGACTTCGTTAAAACGCGTCGAAATTTGTTAAAAATAGTTCATGAGGGCAATAGAAGCTACTGTTTTCAACCGATTCTGATGAAACTTAGTGTGATCATTGGAATTGATAAGACCTCGGACAAGTTCTAACTTGACGCATTTTCGATGAACGGTTTTTGAGTTATTGCCCTTGACTTTGTAAAAACGCTTCAAAATTTGTTTGTGAGCACAATAAAAGCTACAGTTTTCAACCGATTTTGATGAAACCTGGTGTGATCATTGGAATTGATAACAAGTTCTTCTTTTCGTATTTTTGATGAAAGGTTTTTGAGTTATTGCCCTTGACTAAGAAAAAGCAGGTCAATTTTTTTTTGTAAACACTATAGAGACTACAGTTTTCAACTGATTGTATTCAAACTAATAAAATTTCGTCAATATGAGAAAATTCGTACTTTAGTCACTAAAGACTGTTTTATCATGTCTGACAGCGGCCAGTAGGCGTATGTTAGCAGGTAAGCTTTCTTCTTTCATACGGTTTGCATATAACGACGTAAAAAAAACTGTCCTGCACATGTATTTACTATTGCCATTGTACCAGATCCCCTTGAAAACCTATCCATTGGCACCACCAGAAATTGACAAAGCAGTTGACGAATACATGCATCTGAAAGAGGACACACCACCACAGAAACATTCTGACATGGTCTCCACTTCAGGGAAAGATGTTTCTTCCCTTGTAAAGAAGTGGCTGTGGAAGACAAGCCTGGCAGAAAGCCTTGACTATGGCCTGCGCCCATGAAGGCATTCAACAGCAGCCATTCTGGAAAACCTTTACCTGGGTGCATGACATGGTGGGACATGAAATTGGGGACGTATATTGTCGTCACCCATGTCTGTCCGTCCGTCCGTCCACAATTACTCGTAAAGACTCTACAAGGCACAATTCTTGACTGATTTAGACGAAGTTGGGTATGGTTGTTTGTAATCACCCAAGGCTGAAGCCTATTGAAAATCAGAAAAAATATTTAGTACGAGTTATTGCCCTTGTTCTTGAAACGCTCATAAACACTGTAGAAGGCACAATTCTTAACGGATTTTGATGAAACATGGTGTGAGTGTTTGTTTTCACGCAAGGATGAACCCCATTTAAAATCAGAAAGATCGAATAGTAATTAGTGTGAGTTATTGCCCTTGTTCTTGAAAATGCGTTCAATTTTAGCATGTAAACACTCCAGAAGGCACAAATCCTGACGGATTTAGTTGAAACTTGGTATGAGTGTCACTAATCACCAAAGGATGATCCCTATTGAAAATAGTATGAGATATTGCCCTTGTTCTTGATAACGTTTTCAATTTTTAGCTTCTAAACACTCTAGAAGGTTCTAATATTGACAGATTTTGACGAAACTTGGTGTGAGTGTTTGTTGTCACCTAGGGATTAGCCCTATTGAAAATCAGAGAAATCGATAAATGATTAGTATGAGTTATTGCCCTTGTTCTTGAAAATGTGTTCAATTTGTAGCACGTTAACACTCTAGAAGACACAATTCTTGATGGGTGTGTTGAGTGGTGTGAGTGTATGTAATCACCCAAAAATGAAACCTATCGAAAATCAGAAAAATCGACAAATATTTAGTATGAGTTATTGCCCTTGTTTTTGAACACGCGTTCAATTTTTAGCTTGTAAACACTTTAGAAGGCACAATTCTTGACTGATTTTGACGAAACTTGGTGTGAGTGTTCGTAATCACGAAAGGATGAACCCTATCGAAAATCAGAAGAATCAAAAAATATGTAGTAGGAGTTATTGCCCTTGTTCTTAAAAACGCGCTCAAATTCTAGCCTGTAAACACCTTAGAAGGCCCAATTCTTAACAGATTTTGATGAAACTTGGTAATATTATTCAGTATCGACTCAAAAAGGATCATCTTTGGTAGAAGAGAAACAAAACTTAGATATATCATGATATATTATAGGTTTTATCACCATTAAGTTCTACATGGACCGACTCCAGTAATTAATTTTATTGATAGATTGTATAGTCCGTGCCCTTTCTACAAATCCTCTTTCTCCCTCCCTTTTGGGCTTTTTGCATACGTATTTTTGACCAATTTGTTGTCTAGACGTGGAATTTGATGTCTGAAATTGCATTTTCTTTCAGATTTTGTGAGATAATGAGAAATAAGCGGAAGGATATTTCTGACAATAATAGTGATTTTGTGAGCTTAACTGGGTGTTGATATATCCGGTAGAGGTCTACTTTCAATTTGACTAGTTCAAAATATTTATGGTCAGGCTTTGAAAGTGGGTTGGTGAGTGAGGGGGGGGGGGGGGACCCGGGCCTGCATCTTTTCTGGGGTGCCAGATACACACACTTCTCTAGTAATCAATAAGTCCATGGCCTTGACGATTAGAAATAGTTAATAAGCCATAGCTATAAAAGGTTCCGGCTTTCTGCTATTAATTCGCGAAAACAGTTAAAAAGTAAAATCGATATCTAAAATATGTTTATTTCCTCTAAAATACTGACTATTATGTTTTAAATGATTTACAGATAACAGTGAGCTATTTACAAGTATTCTTACAATACAAATCATTCTAGACATTTTTATAAAATATAATCTCAATTTCCTCAAAATCCAATAAGTAATCTGTGAAATTTCCACTCAATGCTAATGAATTAATATTTAGATGGTATCTTGAAAGAGTTTCTCTAAAACAAGTCTGTTGTCCATAATTTGTTTAAAACGATAATCTTTTTATTTATATACGATTATATGCGTGCATTATCTTGCCTGCCTTCTCAGCAAGGTTAGTATGTATACTATGATAAGTTATCAACAGTCTATATATAAAACAATTACCATAATGTATTGCAGGTAGTCATAAGGCGTTTTTATTGAAGCAAATCGTATCAACTCACTTTGGCGGCTGATTATCAGCACGTGGTACAAAATAAATCGCCTTAAATAAATGACCATCGGCATAACCGAGATGCATGTTTACTTCCCAATAATCCCACTGAACATATTATTGAACAGTTAAATATGCAAATGGAATAAAATTTTCTTCAGATCTTTTTCTTTGTTGTTGTTAAAAAATTTCAAAAGCTGGTAAAAGAATTATTTTTGTCTTTATTCCTATAACCTTAGAACGAGTTCTCAAAGTGTTTTACTTATATTATTTTTACAATATTGTCCGCCATCTTGAATCTCAAACAAATCGTACCAAATCGCCGTCGATTGGTCGATTTGGATAAGTACTTTGGCAAATCGCTAAAATAAATTTGTATTGTATAGGCAAATCGTTGTAGGCGTTTAGCTTATATAAAAGTACACTTTGATCTGTGTCGATACAATTTGCTTAAACGTCTTTAAGGTGATTTTTGTCAAGAGTTTCACCGACTAGCACGAGCACATGCAGACAAGTATCAAACCTGTTTGATATTATAAATCCTGTCGGAGAGGCGATAATCCTCTCCTGGAAGCACGGTCACAAGCGAGATTTTACTTAAGACTCTTGCCCGCACCAAAAGGACTTTGGAATGATTCCATTACTGCAACTAAACACCATATACCATTGCCCCTCCGGATATATTATATATACCCCTATATATACCCCTCTGAACAATCAAGTTTACGGTTACGGGCCTAATCGGCTTATTCTGATCAAAACTATTTACAAGTCTATTTTGGAATAAATCAAAACAATATTATTCCTTATGCTATCTTATAAATTTTCATATACACTTTGGCTGTCGACATAACTGGAAGTTGTATCATATATAAAGTTGTAATCTTCCTGCAAAATAATATTACATATGCTTGATAACAATGTATTGAAATGGAGTTTGATTTTTTGCGACTTAAATAAATACTTGTTCTGAATCAATTTTGTTTTTGTCCATATCTGAAGGGAAGGGGAAAGGGGGAAGGGGGAAGGGGGTGGTATGTCGCGAAACACCAGGTCAATCACCAATTACAGATAAGCAGTTAATCGTTAGCCTTGGTCCACAACTACACATTTCAGTTTGAGAAGTTATAGGCTGGCTTTCAGCAGATAAACAAAAATTTCATCAGTCTAAAAGGAACATCGGACTGTATCTCTCTGCCCAAAATTAGACTTCGCAAAATGGTTGATTACAGCAAATGATTGAACATTTACCATATTATTAACAGCATTGGGTAATATTTCTAATATTTGTCTGGTAGAATTCAGTATTTCCACTTGATTATCATCTTTTATTCTTTCGGTGATATTCTTTGTTATACAAAACTTAGCTGCCAACCTTACAGATCTGAAAACCAATATGAATCAATTGTATACAATATTATACAAATATACTCTTCAATTCTTCCATAAAGTAGAACTTAAAACTCCATTCATTTCATCTCATTTTCAATTCTTCAGGTTTAGAACTATGCGATTTTAGATACATTCAATTATGAATCTCCTAGGTAGATAGATAACATTGTATGATGATAAACAGGGTCAATATAACTCGAACATTTTTCAAGTTATTGCCCTTTTATCAAAAATAAGTAAACGGCGACTACAGTCATAATGGGTGTTATCATTAACTGATCGATCTATACTTACTTATAGAAAACTGCTACAGGAGTTTGTTTAGTATCTAACAAATCAACTTGATACACTAATTCAGTTAAAACTGATGTTAAAAACGAGTTGTCATGAAATTGTTTGGTTTGAACTATCAATATTTTACACTCTTTGTCATCATTCTGAAAGAATTGATCATTATTATTGTTTTAAAGTTGTCTCGTTGGACAATACGATTGGCCTTAAAGATAAACGTCTCTGTCCCTGTTTCACGCAAAGTCTAGAAACTGTATTGAATATGAGCACTACTTCAATAATCGATTTCGTGGACGTTGCTATTCAGAGCTTGCACATCCTTCTGGAAAAAATTTGTTTCATAACAGATATTGTGCATGATTAAGAGTAATGGCATTATCGACTTACTTTAGATTGAATTTGAACAGTGTGGAGTTGAATAGCATCATGAAGTTTGGTTGGTGAACTACTAGAAAGATGATATTTTCCAACACTCTCTTGATTAGAATCAGGTAGAATTAATGTTGTAGTCTGAAGTATTAATTTCATTATTAATCAATAATCGATGAAATGGATCTTTGTGATCTAGGCTAATATTTTAAAGTTTCATTTAAAGTAAATATTTTATGATTTGACAGCCATCATTTTACGTAACAAAGGCGTAAAGCATACCTATTTGCTTCTATTACCACTAAACTAGGGCATAGTATTAGTAAATTTAATAGGAAACTCACCTTTTCATTGAAGTATACAACAGTTTCCAATTCTTCATCCATGATGAGGTTCCAAATAGTTTCTTTATTATGTCCAATTAGATCACTTATAAAATATGCTCTTGGGTTCGTCCAAGACTGAAAATCAGAAAAGAATAATGGGGGAGGGGGGTGG